TTTTCTTGTTCATAAAAATATTTTAAATATTGATTAAATAATAATGAATCATCATATTTCCTCATATGTTCAAGAAAATATTTACATAATAAACCAAGAAATGTCAAGCAAAGTCCTTTGAATAAATATCGAAAAAGAAACAATTCTTAAATTCTCGTCAAAATCAATTCATTTGTTGTGATTGTCTTCGAACTTCGAAGACCAATTTGATCTAAAAATGTCGTCGCCATTTTCTCTACTTCATTTTGCATCTAAGAAGAACCAACAGTTAATTCCATTAACTAAATCAATTTACTTTTTTTTTTTTACAAATCAAACTTAATCTCTCGAAAGATTTATTTGTAATAAAACAGGAAATATCGATGCTTGTGCATTCGATGCATTATCGACATTAAAAATCATTAGGAGAACTGTTTTAAGTTCAACCGCATGGGGAAGAATTTCCACTCGAGCAGTATTTCAATAAAAAATTTTAGAAATTGTAAAATTTCCACTTTAGTTTTTTTTAACTAAAAATATAATAATTGAACTTTTCGTTGTTTTTTATTCTTTGGAAAAATTACTTTAGCTTTTGAACTTGCCCGTTGGAGAAATGTGAGAATATTTTCTTGACTAGAAAATAAAGCTGATAAAGACATCGCTCTTCAAAATAAGAAAATTTTTATTAGAATTTTTGTTCAGCTTTTTGTTCATCATCTATTTGTATTGGTGATGGAATGTTCGGATTCGGAATAAGCTTGAGCAAGCTTGGCAATAATTGTCGATGATTGTTCATCAACATCAGATATATCACGGAGACGATCGAGATTTTTATGTAATTCACCAATATAATTATCAAAATTTGAAGCAGATTAATTCTCAATCATTCTTTTATTTTTTTGTTAAACTAAAATTTTTCCTATCAAAAACTAATCATCCTTTTTGACAAAAAATAGTATTATTGATTGATTAATTGTGCAATAACATCGAAGAACGAATAAAAATTTTGTTGACAACCTCTTTGATATTTACTCTTCAGGAAAGTATAGAGGATAGAACTAAGTAAAAATATTCTATTGAATTTGATTAATATCTGAAGAAGACGAAATGGATTCTTCTTCAGAATAAGTACACCATGCGATTCCTCTCATTCTTATGGATATGAGAGTGTGCACATTCTGAAGAAGTACCACGAGAACAATGAGTGATAACGAAGATGTTTGTTTCGATTTATTGAAAAAAAATCTTTTTATTCGTTTTTGTTTTATTTTTAAAATCTTAGCATAAATCGAAATCAAATAAACGAAAAGCATTAACTTAAGAGGAAGAAGAAAATGAAAAGGTTTAATTATGATTTGAAATTCATTTAATAAATATCTGTTTATTTATATTTTAGGAAGACGACGATGATGAAGAGGTTCATTTTCATTTTATTAATCAAAACAAAACTTTTCTTGCCTCTACTATTTTATCGTCATTTAAATACTCTCGAATTATAGCTCATATGAACAGATAAAATTGGTACACCTTGAACATTTGAGATATTTACATCAAAGTTTGATTCGTAGAAAGATATTAAATTAAATTTAACAAAAAAAGCTAAAGAAAAGTAAAGCAAAAGTTATCATGGAAAAGATTCTGTGTATTTTTACATTCCGATATCGAATATGACGGTTAATTTTGATATTTTCTATATAAATGACTCTATTATGTAAAAGATTGAGTTTTAGTGTTAATATTAATAATGTTCTAAGTCTGATGATATGACATTGTCATAGCAACAATAATAAAAAAGTAGCTAAACAAAAAAAAATGTTTGGCTAGTGCAGAATTAGAGTTCATGCATGGAAAATGTGTTAACTTGTTTGAAATCATAGTTTGAAGGTGAGGGTGAAAGTTCAAGTAGAAGAACAAAAGAAGGTTATCAACGAAAAACTAAAATTTCGGAAAAAAAAAACTTTATTATTGCTGCAGCTAGTTCATTTAATCATTTAATATATAAAAAATAAATATATTTATTTAAATTAGATGTTGATGAAGAGAAAGATGAAGAAGATGAGCCTGAAGAAGGTTTTGTTCAAACAGATATCCATGACACAACGGCAGAAATTTATCGAACTGGTCGATCGAAATTCTCAATAGCTCAAGAGTTCGGGTTTTGTTTACTTTTCAAAATTTTCTTTTTTTTTAGTGAAATGGATCCAGTTGAAATGGAAAAATACTTAAAAGAACGTTGTGGACCAAAAAGTCGAGTAATGCGTGAAGATCAAATTCCAGATGAAATAATTCAACAAAGTTTATAGCTTATGTCAAATCACCGAATTTTTGATCTGTCAAATGTAGAATTGGAGAAGAAAAACAAACTACTTTATTACTTATGAGAAAATATCTTGCATTAGAAAATAATGAAAAAGTAAATACATATCTCGACACTTTCAAACTAAAGTTTTTCATTATTTCTACATTATACATTGTTCGAAGTTTCCTTGGAATATAGATATTTGCAGAATTCACATAAAAAATTTTGATCTATCACATATTGAACTGAGATATTAAATTTGACTTTCAACCCCGAAAATATGAAAAAATAAACAATACAACAGTAAATAATGTTTTACATCGTTTTGTGTTTCTCATGAGTGACTTTCTAACTAAAAATAATGTCAAATCGCCTGTATTTTTCTATCATTTAACTCCAATATAGCTGAAACTATTTTTTTCTGATGTTATACATGATTAAACTTGGATAGGTTTTTTTTTGTTTCAAAGAAAATTTACTTTTAAGCAATTTTACAGAATTTGTCTAGCTGGTAAGACAAACTTTTTTATGATACATCGCCATTTCTAACTTAATCCGTTGGAGTAGGAACAAAGAGAGAAATCATTTTTACTCATTGAGATTTTATGTCTCT